CAGAGAACCCCGGGGCGGGGGGGCTGGCTGAGGGCTCAGCTCCAGCTCTGGCCCCAACGCCCAAGTCTGGGCTCGGCCAGCACATCCCGGGCTGCTGTCCCTGGCCTGGGCCTGGCACTCGGTGGCTGCCCCCGTGGTCACCAAGGAAGCTGATCCAAAGCCCCCGGAGAGGCCCGGGAAGCTGTCCAAGGGGTGTGAGCTCCAGCCCAGGATACAGTGCCAGGGTGCCTCTCTCCCCTGACGGCAAAGGGCTCCGGCTCTTTGGGCGTGGAGCCGCGGTGGGCATGGGGGCTGGCAGGCCCAGCGTCAAGGGGGGCGAGCCCCTCACCTGAACTTGAGGCTGCAGTTCTGCCAGTCGAAGGGGAAGAAGTTGACGTTGATGGGGCAGGCGCTGTGGAAGATGGCAGGCGGCAGCCAGTACACGAAGCCGGAGTCGTACACCAGCACGTTGCAGTAGTAGGCGATCTGGAAGAAGCCGTCGTTGCTGCACAGAGACACAAGGGAGGCTGTCGGGGACTGTGGGAGCCTCCAGGCCTCCGTGGCAACTCTGTGTCCATCGGAGCCACAGGGGGGCCCCGGTGCCCAGGACCTGTGTGCGGGAAAGCCCTCGGGCCTCTCACCCATGCGCTGTGGGGTGGGATCTGTGAGCTCTGGGCAACCCAGCATGGGCACAGAGTCCCCAGGGCGACTGAGACCGAAGGCACTTGTGTGGGCCAGGAATTCGAGTGCCAGGGCGTGGGAGGGGTCCGAGTGTTGGGCATGCTCTGCCAGATTCCCTGCCCCACTTGGAACCACCCCGGACGTGGGCTGGTCACGGCACCCGTGGGCGGGTGAGAGCCACCTTGTGAGCGGGTGCAGGGCTCTGCTGGCCGGGGGGCTGTGACGACCTCACCCAGGGCCCGCAGGCAGTGCCGTGCGCTGGAGCCTCTGGGAAAAGCCGGACCAGGACTCACTTGTTCTCCAGGACGATCTCAGGAAGCCACACCATGTCCGGGGGCAGGCGGAGGATCTTCAGGTCCCCGAACTCCGACTTGTTCCACTGCAGCCTGTAATCTGTCCAGCCCTGTGGGAAACCAGGAGTCCATGTTGGAGCCTCCACCCACCATCTGGAACCCCTCTCCCACACCCCCACATGCTCCAAATCTCCCTCCCCAGGCCAGCAAGGAACAGAGCCTGGGCCAGCTGGAAAGATGGGCAGGGAGCAGCAGCACTGGCCACGGACACCAGGGGTGGCATTGCTGTGTGTCCTCAACCCCTTTGGGTTTGCTTGGAGGCCGGCACACCCTCTGGTGGGATGGGGGCTGGATGCAGCTGCGGGGAATCCTTCTCAGGGGCGATCCAGCCACAAAGGGGCATCGGGGGGGAGGAAGAACCTGCAGACACGATGGCTCAGGGAGTGGGCCCCAGACACTGCCCTGCCCACTGTGCTGGAAGTGAAGGGTAGCCAGCAGTGGGGGTTGGCCCGAGGGGAGGCCAGGCTCCGGGGGGCAGGACTGGGGCAGAGGAATGAGTGGCGGTGATGTTATTGGATTTGGACGTGAACACGCAGAACACTGTGCGGTATCTACTGCAAGCGGATGCATTGCTGGTTCAGTTTACACTGTGGAGGTGCAGGTGTGAGTTGTGCATGTGACGTGATGAGTGTTGGCACTGGGCTGATATCCAAGTATTTGCTTTCTGGGAGACATCACCCGGCCTCACCCGCCTATGGCCAGTCAAGGGTGGGGGAGAGGGGGGCAGTCAAATGAACTAGAGCACTCGTCTGACAATGGGCCATAAGTGGTGCCAATCCACAGCTAAGGAATTTCGCTTTGAACATGCAGAGCAGCCTGTGAGCTGGGGCTGCTAAGGCCCAAGGCCTGCGTGGACAGCTGACCTGCTCATGTGACAAACTCATAGACTCATAGACTTTAAGGTCAGAAGGGACCATTATGATCATCTAGTCTGACCCCCTGCACAGTGCAGGCCACAGAATCTCACCCACCCCTCCTAGAATAATCCTCTCACCTATATCTCAGATATTGAAGCCTTCCAATACTTTGAAGACCCCAAGATGCAGAGCATCCTCTAGCTGTGATCTGTACCCCATGCTACAGAGGAAGGCGAAAAACCTCCAGGGCCTCTGCCAATCTACCCTGGAGGAATATTCCTTCCCAACCCCAAATACTTTCCCACAAGGAGAACAATGGGATTCCCGCCATGTGGGCAAGGGTATAAAAAGGGCCCTCGAGGTTCCTCCATTGGTCTTCACTCAGCTCAACACTTCAGGCGTGTCTTTGCTAGAAACTGAGCCCGGAAGGACTGGTGACTCATCCAACACTGGGGCTACGGCTACATTGGCAAGATTTTGCGCAAATACACTTTAACGCAAGAGTTTTTGCGTTAGAGTATTTGTGCAAGAGAGCGTCTATACTGGCATGTGCCTTTGCGCAAGAGCATCCGTGCCAGTGTAGATGCTCACTTGCGCAAAAAAGCTCCGATGGGCATTTTAAACAACGGGCTTTCTTGGCAAGAAATCGATGTTGCCTGTCTACACTGGCCTCTTGCACAAGAACAGTTGCACAAGAGGGCTTATCCCTGAGCGGGAACGTCAGAGTATTTGCGCAAGAAGCCCTGATTTTATACATTAGAACGTCAGTGTTCTTGCGCTAGTACTCGCGGCCAGTGTAAACAGGTGGCAAGATTTTGCGCAAAAGCTGTTGCTTTTGCACAAAATCTTGCCAATGTAGACACAGCCAGTGTATATTCCAGAGGTTGAGAAGACAGAAGTTTATTCCATCTCTGCTACAAGCCTCTGCCAGGAACTTTGTAATTGGTGCATGTAATTTTGTTTCCTTTACCAATTTTACTCTAACTTTCTTTCTTTCTTTCTTTCTTTCTTTCTTTCTTTCTTTCTTTCTTTCTTTCTTTCTTTCTTTCTTTCTTTCTTTCTTTCTTTCTTTTAATAAACCTGATTCCTAAGGATTGGCCCAGCGTTCTCTTTTGGTAAGATCTAAGGTATAAACTGACCTGGGACTGTGGCTGGTCCTTTGGGATCAGTACAACCTGTTTGGTTTTGGTGAGATTGGTTTTCATAATCTCTCCTCCGTGTAAGGTGCAGTGCTGGTTCTGGCACAGCAAAAGTTGGCGTGTCTGAGGGGATGGCTTGTGTGACTTCTTGCTGGCTGGTGTGGTGAGCCAAAGCGCTCTGTGGCTGCGTCTAGACTGGCATGATTTTCCGGAAATGCTTTTAACGGAAAAGTTTTCCGTTAAAAGCATTTTCGGAACAGAGCGTCTAGATTGGCAGGACGCTTTTCCGCAAAAGCACTTTTTGTGGAAAAGCGTCCCTGGCCAATCTAGACGCGCTTTTCCGCAAAAAAGCCCCGATCGCCATTTTCACGATTGGGGCTTTTTTGCGGAAAACAAATCTGAGCTGTCTACACTGGCCCTTTTGCGCAAAAGCTTTGTACAAAAGGACTTTTTCCTGAACGGGAGCAGCATAGTATTTCCGCAAGAAGCACTGATTTCTTACATGAGATCGTCAGTGTTCTTGCAGAAATTCAAGCGACCAGTATAGACAGCTGGCAAGTTTTTCCACAAAAGCATGTGCTTTTGCGGAAAACCTTGCCAGTCTAGACACAGCCTGTGTGACTGGCTTGGTGCCTTATAGAGAAGGACCCCCCCAGTCTTGGGTGTAAGTAGCCCTGTCTCTAAGGAATTTGCCCCGATTTAACCCTCTCAGCAGTGCCCCCAGAACCTGTTGTAGTACAGCTGCCCAAGCCCAGAGATGGGCAGAAGCTGCTCTGGGTGGTTTGCTTTTGTCTGTAGCCTGAGCTCTCTCAAGGGGCTGCACCGGCCCTAGGGCTGCTCCTCAGTGAAGGAAAACTCTGCTTCAGCGAGAAGGTCTTTTCTGCTGGCCTGGGGCGAGGGGTTTGGAATGGGCTAGCTTGAGGCTGGACCAGTTGCAGTAGGGGTGGAACTTACTAATGTGGCATGGCTGGAGGGCCG